GGGCGGCGGCGGCGGCGGCGGCGGCGGCGGCGGCGGCGGCAAGAAGGATTCGATCACGTACAGGGAAGTTTTGGAAAGCGGACTGGCGCGCTCCCGGGAGCTGGGGAGCTCGGAGTCCAGCCTCCAGGACCTTACGGAGGGCAGCGGCCACTGCCCGGTGCATCTGTTTAAGGACCACGTGGACAGCGACAAGGACAAACTGAAAGAGTTCGGCACGGGGAGGGCTGCGGAAGGTAAGCTCGCCGGGGCGCGGCTGGGCGCCCCTCCCGGGGACGGCGTCTCCTCGCCGCCGCGCTTGCGGGCCTGGCCCTGGCTCGGCGCGTGGGGAGGCCCCGGGGGCCGCGGCTCGCCCAGAATTCCGCCCCCAACTCTGAATGTACGGCCGCTCTCGCACGCAAAGGCCCCGGCCACCCGTCGCCAGTGTTTTCGTAAGAGAGGAAGGAGACGCCAAGACGCGGCGGCGGAGCCAGGGAGGAAGGGAGGCAGGGAAGCCGAGCGAGCGAGGGCCGGGGCACGGGCCGCGCGCTGCTGACGGGCCTGCTTCCCCGGCGCCCTTGCGCCGGGCGTCGCCGCGGGAACTTTCCCGGGTCGGAGTCCATCGGGCGGAGGAGCCCGAACGGCGGGGTCGGCTGTAGGGCCGCTGGGTGCGCGCCCGCCCGCCCGCCAGGCTGTCTAGTGTCTGCTCCCAAGCGCACACACGACAGATCCCAGGCGTCTCTCCCAGCGCCCCCCGCTGCCCCAGCGTCCGACCCGGGCCGGCGCTGAGGACGCGCCGGCCGCTGGTCCCGGAGGGAGCGTTGCGTCCTGCGCCCGCTGAACCTCTCTGCTCAGTTTCCTCTTAGGGGAAACTTTCCCCCTTGAGCCCGGAGCTGACGCGGGCCTGCAAATTAAAACCACTCGCGTGCCCGCAGGTGGCCGGGGTCTGGACGCAGAGGGAAGGATTCCCGGGAAGGTCATGGCCGTTGCGCGCGGGGCCTCCCAACCCCAGGCTGTGAGAGGACAGCCGGCCCTGCTGCGGGGCGGACCGCGTCCCGGGCCTCCTTCCTTCCTGGTTTTCCAGCCACGTTCGCCGCGGTTCGCCCTGTTGCTGAATGGGGGGGAGGAGGGGGAACTGGCGGGTTTATGGGGGGCTCTCCCAGCCGGGCACTGGGTGGTCCCAACGCGGGGGGGTGGGTGTCTCCGTACAAACAGGGCAACCAGCAGTGGCAAATCAGTGTCATAAAATTGGCTGGATTTCTCCGGGCGGGGGCACACGTAAAACTGTTACGAATGCCTATATTTCATTGCAAAGAGGAAACACAGCGGCTTCGCCCCGGGTGCACACGGTGTCAGCGTTGGGGGAGGCCAGGAGGGTCTCCCTACGGAGGACATTCCTCACCACCCCGCCAGCCCCGGCCGGTGAAGCCTCTGTGTCCTGGTCGCTGGGACCCCACGCTTGGGATCTCTGAATGGCAGAGCTCTGGGCCTCGGCCTTGAGACGTGGGGATGCCCCAGATATCTTTCTGAGGCCTCCACCCAGGGAAGCTGGAGGCTTAGAGATGAGCCCCTGACCGCCGGCGGCCTGGGGACGCTCGGCCCCAGCCTGTCTTACTTCGGGGTTCACCCCCCCCCACCCCGCCCCGCAGGGCACATGCAATTCATGCAGAGGTTGCTTTCATGGAGACACGGCCTGGCTGGACGCCACTCCGGGCCCACACGTAAAGTCAGAGGTTTCCAGCACCCAGGACTCACGTCCCTGGTGCTTGAGCCGTGTGGTGTGGGAGACCTTTGGGTTCCTGCAGAAACCCGGAGGTCCTGGGCTCCTGCACGGCCTGTCCCGCCGAGCTGTGGATTTTGCAGAGCCCTCCCTGGGTTCTCAAGGCCTTTGAAGGCCAGCTGCTCAGCTGGGATCCGTCCCTGGGGTCAGACTTCAGGGACGGGAAGGGAAGGAAGGATCAGGGCTGCCTCCAGGACAGGATTTGCGGTGGGGGCAGAAATGGGGTGCTGGTTTGCACATGTAACGCTTTCCGGAGGCGAAAGGGGATTCCAAAGCCAAGTTGGGGTTCCGCGTCCCGTGCTCAGAAGGCCTGAGGGAAGGCTGTCGGGCAGACTCAGGGCTTGGCTTCTGGTGTCCAGGCCGGCTCGGGGATCCCGGGGGGTGTCCCCTGTCCCCACGCTGCTTCGCGTCTTCCCGCTTGGCGAGGCTCTGGGCTGAGGTACGGAGAGGCCTTCTGTGCGTGCTGCCTCCAGACCTTCAGGACTGCGGTCCTGGGGCGGGCCTCCTGAAGGCTAGCCCCTTCTGGGCACCGGGGGCCGAGTCAGGAGGGCACGGAGGTGCTCTCTGGCTGTGCCCGGCACGATCTGTGATGCAGGAAAAGCACAGGGAGACAGAGGGGCCCGGGAGGCGCGGCTCCCGCCAGCCAGGCTTTGGGGTGATCACGTTATTTTCAATTTCTGGGCTGCCTTTGCTGCAGGTGGGAAGGCGAGGTCTCCGGGTTAGACTCCCAATGTTGGCCTTATAACTGCCGGCCGCTTAGCCCCCTACCGTCCCCTCCACCAGCAAACACAGACGCTCTCCTAATTTTTGGAGTAAGAAAGTGCCAGGCTTGGTGCCCTGGTGGCTGTGTGCCCCATCGCTGGATGTATGTACGGAGGGGGCAGCGGGAGGCCAGTAAGCTTGGGGACCTTGCTCAGCGAGGCACCGGGCTGAGCGTGAGGGTGTGAGTGTGGTGTGAGAAAAGAGTCCAGGGAGGGGCCCGCACGGCCCAGATCCACCCGCGTGGGGAGGGAGGCTCTTACCCGGCTGGTGCGCCCGGTGCCCTTCGCGGGACCCACACTAGGGCGATTCTGCCCAAACTTGTTTGACTTAAAATAATATTTCGCACCCCATTCCGAGAGAGAGAGAGAGAGAGAGAGAGAGAGAGATTAAGCTATGTGGCTATGTCAATATGTCAACAGGCGCAAAGGGGAACCTTGAGGAAACCATTCCGAGGTTAGGCCGAGAAATTCAGCGCCGCCAATGCCCGAGTTATTACCAAACAGCGTAGGTTGCCCCTCGAGTCCGCTTTATCGACCTGACGCAGCCCTGGGTGGGGGTGGGCTGGTCAGGCAGTCAGGGCGCGTTGGCTGCCGGGGCCCCTTCCTCCGCAGGCGCGCACGCGGTGCTCGCCGGGTCCTGCACCTCCGCGCAGCGCCGCCGTGTTTCTGGGCAGACGGGGAGGGCGGGGGCGGCCCGGGGAGCCCTGCGCCCTCAGCCCTGCGCCCCCCGCTGCCCCGCAGGCATCTACGAGTGCAAGGACAAGCGCGAGGACGTCAAGTCCGAGGATGAGGACGGGCAGACGAAGCTCAAGCAGAGGCGCAGCCGCACCAACTTCACGCTGGAGCAGCTCAACGAGCTGGAGAGGCTGTTCGACGAGACCCACTACCCCGACGCCTTCATGCGCGAGGAGCTCAGCCAGCGCCTGGGGCTGTCGGAGGCGCGCGTGCAGGTAGGAGCCCGCCAGCCCCGAAGCGCAGGGCCTCTCGGAGACGCCCAGGGCCCTCGCGTGCGCGCGGGTCGCACGGTTCGCACCCAGGGCGCGTGCCCCGCCTGAGCCGGTCGCCCTCCCCACCTGGAGGTGCTCAGGCACTGGGATCTGACCTCACCTCTTTGCACAGCTCCTCTCCGCGGCCCCCAGCCTCCTCCCTTGCACTCCAGGGAGGGGAGGCGAGGGGCCAGGTGGGGGGAGTCGCGCACACGGGCATCTTGATGAGCGCGGCTGATGCCCGCGCGGGGCCGGATTAGCTCGGGCGCGGGCGGGGGGCGGGGGCGCGGGCGCATGAATTCATAAAGCCCCATCTGGCGAGCCAGTGTCTGCGGGGGCCCTGGGCGTGCGCGGCACGTGCGCGGAGGGGACGCTGTGGCAAGCCGCTAGGTTAAATTTATTTATGCCTTTTTGGGGCACGGTAGCAAAAACTCACTCCCGCTCGCGTCCTCCGAATGCTGACCCCGCCTGGGAGCCCGGGGCCTGGAAGGTTCCCGTCCTTCCTCACGGTTCTGGGCACCACAGCAGCGCGCCAGGCGGAGAGAAGAAGGGGTCAGCATCCCCGGGGCTCTGGGGACTGGTTTTAAATACACGGAATTAATATTGCCAAACGGGGA